AACGGATCTGATGATAGTTATTGGTTCCCTACGCATGCATTCCGTTTTGAAAATTTTGTTTTAATCTTATAGACCTAGTGAAGCTTGTTGACCGTACGGTTAGAACAGAGCACAATCGAGAAGCAAAGAGACCAATATATATCGTCGGAGAGTCTTTCGGAGCATCACTTGCACTAATTGTCGCTGCACATAACCCTCATATCGATCTTGTCCTAATCCTCGCTAATCCAGGTGAGGTGGATTACGGTGCATTTTTAATAATCCAGATCCATGATTTCGTCGGACAATTTATGATTTTTGTTTTCTTTTGTTATGTGGCAGCGGCAAGTTTCAGCAAATCGTTGTTCCAAAGTCTTATGCCTTCCTCTCACATAATTCACAAACAATTTCAATTACCAGGTTTTTTGCCGCTGATTCTTTTTCATGACATGTTCGAGAATTATGATAATACTTTATAGACAATATAATCGATCTTTTTTTTTTTTTTTATCAAATATCGTGTTCGATTTCAACAGTAGGAACAATTATGTGGAAGCTGAGGATGATTCATGAGATGCAAAGCTATTTGGATTCGCATCTTCACACTGTCAAGGCTCAGACACTTGTACTTAACAGGTTACGTTATCGATTTTCGGACCTATGCATGGATCATTAATAAAACTAAAAGCGTTTGAATTTTGATATTTGATAAATTAGACGAATAAAAGTTCGAATTATTTATCATCCATGAATGCAGTGGAAAGGATATGCTGCGGCCAAACAAAATCGAAAGTGAAAAACTTTCTAGTACGCTGAAACATTGTGAGGTTCGCTCGTTTGTTCACCATCGGGACCCTCTATTCTCGGTAAGAACAAATTAACGCAAATTAATAGTACAAGAAATGAGTTAATAACAATTTAGAGAAATATAAAGATTATTACATAATGGTGTTTTCAATTTTCTTAAAGGATGAAACTTTTGATCTCGTGGCAACCATAAAGCGCGTCAATTATTATCGTCGAGGAGCATCCGTTGAATATTTCCTTGATTTCTTTCCACCGACCCCTTCTGAACTTAAGACGATTCTTCGACCATTCAGGTATTCAGAATTTTGTATGAATTATACTCAATGCATGCATACCAAATTATTTATTCCTTTAATTTGGAGATTTTTTATTTATTTATTTATGTAGATATATTATATTATTTTATTATTCATCTTCTTCAGTTGGATGTATACGGCCTTCGATCCGGTGATGATTTCGACGAGGGATAGTGGAGAAGTCGTCCGAGGGCTCGGAGGAATTCCTACGGAAGGACCGGTGCTATTAGTAGGTAACCACATGATGATTGGGTTGGACGCTATATTGCTCGTCTCGAGTTTTTGGACCGACGAGAATATTACGGTGAGAGGAATGGCGCATCCGTTATTCTTCGAAAGATTGAAGAAAGGAGGAAAACTACCGGGATTGTCCTTTTTCGACGTGATTAAGGTTATCGGTGGGGTTCCGGTATCCGCAACTAATTTATACAAAGGCCTCTCGGCGAAATCTCACATTTTGCTTTATCCGGGGGGTATAAGGGAGGTATTTCATCAGAAGGTATATATATGAATATATACGAGTAAACTGCAAATACTACCCCTGTGTTATCTCGAAATAGCAAAAACCCCCCTGTGATAAATAAACTAGCAAAAACCCCCCTGTGAAATTTAGTCAAAGGCAAAATCCCCCCTAGCTGGTTTTTTAGACTTGAAATGACAAAATTGTCCCTCAAAATGTATTTATATATATACATATTATATGTATATTTATTCCTTTTAATTTACTTGTTTAGAAATTAAAAAAAAATAGTAAACAACTAAATTGATTATTTTTTAAATAAAATAATTAAAATATTTATAAAATATAAGAATTTATTAATTGCAAGACTCCAGGGGTATTTGTGTCTTTTTATATCAAGTCAACCCTCAAATAGTTCCATAGGGGGGTTTTTGCTATTTAAATAATTTCACAGGGGAGGTTTTTGCTAGTTTATTTATCACAGGGGGGTTTTTGTTATTTCAAGATTATACAGGGGTAGTTTTTGCAGTTTACTCGAATATATACATATATTATTACAAAATATATACAAGATTTTTGGGTTATGTATTAGTTAAACGGTGTACTAATTTTAGGGTGAAGAGCACAAAATGTTTTGGCCAGCCGAACCGGAGTTTGTTCGAATGGCTGCGAAATTTGGGGCCACGATTATACCTTTTGGAAGTGTTGGTGAAGATGATAGTGTTCACGTAAGTGTATGCGTTGTTCAATATTTGCTTTCTATCTCGAGGGTAAAGTACGGTTTTCTCCCTTCGAGGTTGGACCGATACTTGGGTTGTGTTTGCTAAAGCTTTTTCGAAACTAACTATTAGTATTAACCTCTTTTTTTCTTTTTTTTTTCTTTCTCGAATCAGTTGTTATTAGACTCCAACGAACAAATGAAGATTCCGCCACTCAAGACCTTCATAGAAGAACTAACCGACGAAGCCGTCAGGTTAAGGCAAGTAATTAATCACTTGCACACACACACACACACACACAAAATAGCTCTTAGTTTCATTTGGTTGTAATTTGTAATGGCAAATACAGTAAAACATCGATAAATTAATACTCGATAATTTAATAATTCGCTAAATTAATAGAATTTCCCTAGTCCTAACTGTATTAATTTATAGAGGTTTAATTGACAGGAGCGATGTTGAAGGCGAAATCGGGAAGCAACTACTATACTATCCTCTAGTCGTACCCAAGTTACCTGGCCGCTTTTATTTCCGATTCGGAAAACCAATTTCAGTAGAAGGTATTTATATTTAATTTGCTACTTTTTCTTATCGTATATAGAGAGATAATTTTTTTACCAGATTTTTCAATTTGACACGAGACTGAGTCTGCATGCGTTATGCTGCATGCAGGAAGGGAGGATGTATTGACAGACAAAGAGAAAGCTAACGAAATGTATTTAGAGATACAAAACGAGGTACAAAAATGCATCGATTATTTGAAGGAGAATAGAGAAAAAGATCCGTATAGGAACCTTTTAGCTCGATTATCTTATCAGTGCTTCAACGGCTTCGATTCTCAAGTCCCAACTTTCGACATTTGATATTCTTTTGGAATCTTGTTTTCAACGATAATTTTTTCAGAATACGCTAATAAAGGACAACCCAAATCTTCGGTTTCTTTATTTTTCTTGCCTAATTTCTTATTCGAGCATCGTTTACAAATCTTACCGTGAGTGTATAGAAGACAATTGAGGTCAAACTTGAGTTTGTCTGGAATCCGCTTATTGAGGTGGAGATACGTATTTTTTATATTCGCGGACGATGGAATCCAACCCATAGTTTTAGCTATCTGAAAAACCTGTTAGAAGATGTTTATCAATTCACTTGGATAGAAAGAAAAATCGAGAAAGATTTAAATACTTAGGTGTGGCGTTATAACATGAACGAAAAAAGATACGAAGTACTCACATGTGTGTCCACGGGAAAATCGTCGTGTTGCAAATGAAACATCAATACACATGACACCTATGAAAAGAAAAATCAGATAATTTTAATACAAGATATGTTTTCCAATCTATTATCTCAATGCAACAAAATTACTTTTAAAAAAGGGTAAATTACGGCCAACCCCCTGAGGTAAGGTCAAATTACGAAAAAATCCCTTATGTTTCGGTAATTACAATCACTCCATCAACTATGGATCTTCTTACAATTCCACCATTGCAGTGTAAAATTTAGTAGAATCTTTTAAATTATGTGGAATATTCTCCAGTTTGCACCTGCTTTACCATATTCATATTCGAGCTTCACATTTTGAAACAAGATGATCGTAAAAATGTGTCTCTTGGATTGTAAATATCAGATTGTGGTGCATCAAAAATTGTGTTTTTACACAAAAAGAGTACAACTAGACAACATTCTACGGAATCCAGAAGATTATGTTGAGTTTGACATCATAAGGGTAAACGTGTAAGAAGATTCATAGTTGAATGTTGTGGTTGTAATTACCCAAGTAGGAGGGTTTTTTCGTAATTCAACATTAACTCAGGGGTGGCTGTAAATTTACCCTTAAAAAAATAACCAATCAAATCCATTAGAACTCAATTAAATCACTTTCGAAAAGTTTAACATTTATTGGCGAAAAATTACCGTTTTAGGACCAATTCCTTTGAAGAGAGAGAGCTCAGCTTTGACCTCATCGATAGAAGATTCTCTCAAGTACTCCATGCACAACTTCCCTTTTCTCTCGAGCAAGCTACTCAATAGATTCTTTATGCAAGAAGACTTCGTTGGTGCTAGACCACCGCATCTTATTGCATCCTCAATGCACTTGGACTCAGCTGCAAGAACCTTTAACATATGCAACGTAGGCATTAAAAAACAATTAAATATATCAATAATCGAGAAATACCAAAAAAATGCGATCAACTTAGAGATATTAGCGTATAAGAAATAAAATTATGTTTTTGGAGATGGTCAACCGTAATCTGTATCAACTAAATGGAAGGGTTTTACAAATAAACCAAAACCCGTTAGAAGAGTACTTTTAAAAAATGTATGATTTTACTCTTTATTTTAACGATTTTACGGTGGTATCATAATTGGACTTTTCGGGGACGAACTGAATTTTTTTCATCGTAACAAGTGAAGCTCAACCCTTTTCAACAATCCATCGAATGTTTTCTACCGTTCAAGAATCACGTCTAGTTCCGAAATTTGAGGAAGATTGAAATGTAGCACGAACACCGAACACGTTGAGACATATAGAATTCGGGGCAGGCTATTTACATTTCCAAGATATGTAAAAATCCTACAATTTTACGATCACGATTTTAGGGTACCCTTTCGAGATAAATGCAACTTCAAGAACACAATCCAACTTCACATGCACAAAACCCAAAAATTCAGCTTCAATAATTATCAAAATCAACTAAAAAAGAGTAGAAGAAGAAGGGTTACATACATCATTCCAAATAGGAAAAGCACTTTTGAGAGAAGCAAAAGCTCTTTCAGAATTAAGCTCTGTCGTATTCTGTGAAAGTATGGTTTTCACCAGTCCGTCCAAAACACTTTCTCTCTCATCATCATCTTCTCCGAAATCGGCGGATTTTGATTTTTTTTTCGATCTTTGATTTCGGTATTTGACGAACTCTTGTGGGAAACCGTGGAGGGACAATAGATCGTCTCGTACGGAGCAACATTCTTCGGCGGTGGGCCGCGGGTAATCTGGATATGGGTTTTCAACGGCGGCGGCGGCGGCGGCGCAGCCGCTATTCACGGTGGATTTTGGTGATTTAGCAGAGGGTTGTGGGTGGGTTTGCTTTCTTTTGCGGGCTCCCTGCATTTTTCTTCTTCAGATTTATGATCGGTCCAGTTCCTAAACCGGTTTAGATAATTTTTATGGTTTTTTTTTTCTTTTTATTTTTTTTTATTTTATATTATTGATTTTGTCAAAGGGGATCACTATTTCAAATCCCAACTTTTGCTTACTTGAATACCAAAAAAATAAAAAATAAATAATTAATTGTAAATTACTTTAATACCCTTAATGAAATTAAAACTAAAAAAATATTACAAATACTATTTTTCTTTCTTAAATACCAAATAATCAAAAACTCAAAAAACCATTTCCCTCCTTCTCCACCTCCTTCTTCTCCCTCCCCAAAAACCCTTATAAAAAATATTCCTCACAACAAACCCTTCTAAAAAATCTCATAACATACTTACCTTAATGGCTTCTCTTTCCACGATATACTACCATATTATTGTCTTATAACTCCATTTTATAAGTTTTGTGAGGTTTTGATTTTT